TTGGGTTAGAGTTAAATCTCGCCCGGGGTGACGAAAAATCCAGGAGACGGCCCTGGTTGTAGTTAGACCTAATGGTACCAATGATATTGTAGGGGTGATTTTCAGCCAATAGAGTATTCATTGACATTCTATAAGATAGTTTGAAGTTCTGTTGATGTCAAATTTGTATTTTCTAAAATTTTTAATTTTAACTGACGACAACAACGGAAACACATGACTTTGGATGAAGAGATTTTAAAAATTTATAACTATCTTAAAGTTGTCAGCCCTTATCCATTGAATTGTATCACACATAGGACATTTGGTATTAGCTCTAACAATCTGATTTTAGCTATTTTCCTTTATGGGTTGCTTTGTGAAGATCATACTCCAACTTTGAAGTCTGGAGAAGCCTCAAAATTGATTAGCTGGTGTCATAAACTGTTCACATACACACCATTATGTGAGACTTAGTTATTTGGACTTAAGGTAGCTAAAAACTTATATCTTCATTGAAAAGTTGGATTCCAAATTTTTAAGTATCACAATATTTTCCCTTATTATATATGGAACTCATTATTGAAAGTGGTAAACCTGAAAAATATGTGACATTGTTTACTTATCTCTTCATTATTACTTTTACATTCATTATTAGTGGCATTTAAACTACTGGCCACTCAGATAGATCTGTCAGATGACCTTTAATACTTGTCAGTTGATTTTAAAACTCCTTATTTTTATGTTTGGAGGAAGAGTTAGAGGCACCAAAAACAAACTGATAAACAAAGTCACATTTGGTTTTGCAGTAATCCTCAACATGCCCTTTCATTAACTGTAGATGGTGATAATGATTGATTATAGTATTCATACAATTCCTAAGTCATTAATTTGAGTAAAATACTTTGCACTAAGTGTAGTTTTTACTCAACACCGAACTATATGCATGAGCAAAATCAACCAGAGTGGGTCCAAAATCAGGCCATTGGATAATTGAAAATGGACGGATTGTGTGATTTCAAAAGATACCAGAATATGTTTTAACTTTGATTAAGATTAACGTGGTTAAGATTTGATCAAAGAGTTTTAGTACCTAAACATCCCATTCGGCCATGCTTTCACAGTTTGGTGAGTGATTTCTAAGAATTTTTTAAATTTATTTATTGGATTACTACCTAACTTGCCATTTCCGGCACGGACAAGGATATTCTGGTTATATTTTGCAATGATGTTGTGATTGCTACAAACTACCTGAAGGCATTTTTTATATTTATAGTTCTACCTCTTGCTCAAAAAATCAGTAAAATGTTTTTGAACATTGAAAAAATTGCCCACCTACAATGGGCTGCAGATGTAAATTCATTTTTTAATAACAATGACATTGCTCACATGTACATTCTTTCTCTGTCCACAAACTTAAATACCGTAGAGCACATGTGGGATTACTTAAGGGGACAGATTAGAACTTGGAAAATTAATTTCACTAACTTTCAAAAACTATAGTAGGTCATTATCGATGCTTGGAGTAACATGCCTGATGAGATCATCCACATTAATAATTGGTATGGCAAAGTGAGTTGAAACTGTTATTTAGATCATAAATACATTTTCATGAAAATAATTGAAGTAATAAGCAGGTTTCTTTGTTTAAACATAAATTTTAGGAATAAAAATATTATCTTTGTCACTTATAAATACAGATTAATTACTAGGACAGAGATCTGAGAGAAAAATTCATTTTCATAACCATTTTACATAAAAAATATTTTTATTTTGCCTAATTTCTCCTGCACTTTTAATAATAGTAATATATCTTATTATAATATATTATGAAACTGCTGCAAATCAATATCCACCACTGCATTGTGGCATGTGGTGTATTGTAACAGTACATAAAAGGTAAGGTATTATATTATAGGTATTGATATTATTTTAATTCTTGAACCTTACTTATATGAAGGCAGGATCAAGGGATTGAATATGCATGGGTATGGAATAATTTCCGCACCCACATATCCTAGAGCCTGCCTACTTTATAAAAACAAACTATAACTGCTGCCTCTATGACAATTCTGTTATAGAGATCTTGCAGCAGCCAAATATACCCATCAAGGGGATAAAAGAACAATAATCATAGTGGCGGTATATCTGCCATATGAACACCCAGAACCTGCAGAGGGAATTAAAGAAATACTAAGATGCAGTGGGGAGATTGTAACTGCCCTGGATGCCAATGCACATAACGAGATCTGGGGGAGCTCAAATACCAACTCTAGAGGTGAGAAACTCTCAGAGACTATAATTAGGTATGATCTTGATATTCTGAACAAGGGGAATAAGCCTACCTTTTGTAATATGACTAGAACGGAGAGCATAGACATAACACTAGTGACTCTCAAACGGTTAGTGTCCTTAAAGATAACTGGCATGTCTCTGATGAAGAAACATGCTTGGATCACAGGTATATTAGATTTGATATATCTGACAGAATACAACATGATGTGGAATATAGAGATCCCAAACGTACAGACTGGGCGTCCTATAGTACTAACTTGGAGGCGGCTGTTAAATGCTGCTCCAAAGTTATCCGCAATACATGGCAACTGGAATGTTTAAATATTTCAATTACTCATGCTATGATTAGATCATATTTGGCCAGTAATGAAGCTAAAAAAACATAACCAACAGGAAAGTGTCCTGGTGGAATGGTAGCCTAACAAAGCAACGAACACTCACAAGGAGATTGTTCAATGCTGCTAAAACATTTGGCAATTGGGATACCTATAGGAAAGATCTTACTGAGCATCAAAAATCTGTCAGGAAAGTCAAAAGACAAGCCTGGAAAAGGTTTTGTCTGGAGGTTGATAACATTCCGGCGGTATGTAAAGTAAACAAAATACTTTCAAAACAAACCAATACACGTACGATGAGAATACTCAAACATGAGGATAAATACACCACAAACGAAATTGAAACGTTTGAGTATTGTAGCAAAAGCACGTTTCCCTAGTTGTTTTACGACAGTAACGGAACATCTTGACCCCACTACACAGGATCGTGGTACTGGTGCACGTATGTGGGGTCTAGCAAGAAGAGTGATCACAAACAGCAGAATTGAATAAGCAGTGAACTCATTCTATCCTTTTAAATCTGCTGGAACTGATGAGATCTTTCCAGCATTGCTGCAGAAGGGTCTCTCAGAGATAAGGCCATATCTTCTGGAATTACTAAGAGGTAGCCTAGTACTGGGATATCCAAGTAAATGGAGGATATCCAAGGTGCGACACATTCCAAAACCAGGAAGAGTCTTATGAAGACCCCAAGGCATTTAGGCCAATATATCTGTCATCTTTCATAATGAAGACATTGGAAAAGATACTTGACAGACATATTAGAGAACATATATTAGCTACAAGTCCAATACACTCAAAGCAATATGACTACCAACCAGGAAAATCCTGTGAGGTGGCGCTTCATAACTTGGTAACAAGAATAGAGAAATCCTTAGAACAGAAAGAAATCATGGTAGGTGTCTTCGTTGATATCGAGGGTGCCTTTGATAGAACTCCCTATAACATCATAAATGATGCACTAAGGAAAAAAGACAGACTCTATGTCCTCAAGATGGATTGGGAGGATGTACAAACATATTATACAGGCTAAGCAAGTTGACAAGCTGCTCTTTAATCCCCTGTCAAGGGGGACACACAGTACTGCTGAATAGGATTGGATGTGACGAAGTGCTAGAGCCATGCACTCTGACACTCTAATCCGGGAATATCAGAACTGAAAATATAAGGTTGGGATAGACAGCAGCAGACAACACAAACCAAATAATGGTATTAATTGTTATACAGATGGCTCTCTAACAGCATACGGCTCAGGAGCAGGCATCTATCGCAAAGACAACAAAGAAAAAAATTCTATACCACTTGGCAAATATGCCTCAGTGTTTCAATCTGAGATATTGGCAAAACCTACTGCGAAGCAATGTGACTGGGAAAAAGATTACAATCTATACCGACAGTCAGGCAACAATAGGTGCTATTAACAATTATTATGTATATTCAAAGGTTGTTAAGGAATGCAACACAGCACTTAACAAACTAACTGAGCACGATAGAGCTGCAGTGGAGTGGGTGTCCTGTCACTCGGGTATAATAGGCAACGAAGAAGCTGATGAACTAGCCAGATTGGGCTCAGATACCATTCCCGTAACTCCCGAGCCTGTTTGTGGAATCAGCCTTATCACTGCCAAGAATAGAATCAGGGAGATTTATGGGAACAAATTTAATAATTACTGGACTGACAAGAAACAGCGACATTTGAAGCTGTTCCTTAAAGGTTCATGTGAAAAAAAAAAGCAAACTGCTACTGAGGATGGACAGAGCAGCTCTTAAAAAGCTTACAGCAATCTATACAGGTCACTGTAAGATAAATTAACATATGTTCAATCTCCGAGTAATGACGAATCCGCTATGAAGATTCTGTCAGGAGGAGAATGAAACAGCCTTTCACATTGTGTGTAGATGTGATAGATTCTCAAGGCTAAGACTGGAACTATTTGGGGAGGAACAAATGGATCTCCCCAGTAGATATGAGACGGTCTATCCAACCAGCCTACTAAGATACGCAGTAGCGACTAAAATAACGTTTTGATTAAACGAATAACTGAAATTGGCGCACAATGGACCCAATAGGGGTCGATGTGCCAATCAGGCTACTGGAGGCTACTCACACCGACCGGGCGTAGGACTGATGATCCTGCCCCCGTGTACTTAAATCAGGAATCGGGATGTGGTCTAGTAGATCACATCTTGCGGTCGAAGATCTACAAGGTCTGTAGCGCCAATCAAGAAAAAAAATATATATATAGATGATTTTTACAAATGTAATTGGTAATATTCGAAAATTTGATTAACAAATTTAATTAATTTATTAATATTTATTGGATTGCATACATAAAAAAAAATGGTGCCCTTGAATTATTTTAGTAAATTTGACAGCTGAAATATGAGACTTACCATAAACTGTGTTCCTGCAGTTGCAAACTATAATTTCTGCAACTAATATGGTACCTAGCCCTAGGAATGATAATACGGTACAAGTGAGCAGAAAGTTTTGGAAATAAGTATTATAGTAGTCCAGACCAGCCAGTGATGTCATTATGAGCTGGTGTGTTAAATTCTCCTGCAAATAATCATAAACTATTAAAGATGGTTTGAATATGATTAATTGTAATTCTAATTTAAGAAATACTATATTGGTGCAATATTTATTTATAGCCTAATTTTTGACTTACATTGTAGGTCTTTATCAGGGCTAAAAATAAAAAGATTCAAAAATTAACATTAACTGCTACAAGATATCAGATACAAGTTATAGATCGATTTTAGAGAGTGAGAAGTGACAAACAGTAAATGAAATGAGAATAACTAGAGTAAAATAGGAGACAAGATAAATGGAAATGCAAATGGCAAACAATTATATACATAAGAGAACTGAAATGAATATTAAAGCTGATAAAAATATAATTGGTAAACAGTGATGAACAATAATAATGAAAGGTAAACAATTGAGTGAAATGCAAAAAGTAAACAATGATATGCAGTGGGTAGCAACAGTTTTCATGTACATATTCATACATTTCAATAAAAACAATTCTTTATAACAATTTTTTTCATTTCAACATATTAATATAATTTCAATAGATATCTCTTTAGTCAACACAACAAAATTGGCTAAACAACAACATATATATATATATATATATATATATAAAACTAAAAATAGTAATTATAGTCGGATAATAGGTCATTAAGTACACTTCAATAAACTAAATCAGCTCCTGTTTATTCTTTTTTATTCAAAACGTTTCAATCCCTGTTTTTTAAAATAAGGTTGATTAGAAAAATATTGTAATACATTATATTATGTGTATAACTAGCGCAAACAGAGCTTTCTTCTCCCTCTCAAAGGTATTGAAGAATACCTTTATAATACAGCACCGTAGAAAAAAGTGTTGAAAGATTTGAGAGGAAAATCCTGCACATGATAACTGGAGCAATCTGGGATCAGAGTACTAACACATGGAGAAGAAAGACCCATAAAGACTGCTAACAGAAACTGGACAATCAATATTCCATAATATGAAGGCACGGAGGTTAAGATGGACGGGGTATGTAGCTCGTAGCAATCCATCTGGAAGTGTCTACATAACAATGAATGCCTCAATAGAAGGCAAAAGACTTAGTGGAAGGCCAAAAATCAGATGGATAGATAGAATCAACAAAGAAGCAATAGAGCTGCCTGCAAATAAATCCAAAGAAATAGCCTAAGACAGGCTCGAGATGGAGCAGGCTTGTTAAGGCGGCAAAATATCAACACGTTCTGTAACGCCATATATATACATTTAATACATTATAAATACAAAATAACAATTTTAAACCATCTAAAGTTTTTGTACAGAATGTTATTATAATATAATTTATTTATTATTTTCGTCAAAATTTTTATATTAATATTTTTAATGTAATCGTTTGTTTTTTAATACAATTTTAGGCCACTTGGGAATTGATTGTATCAACTTTAAAGTTAATTAGGATAGTATTTCTTTCCATTCTTCCATTAATTTAGTTTCAAGATTTTTTACGAACTTTATATTATGATTCCTAAGCTTTAAATCAAGATGAGTCCACAGATGTTCAATGGCATTTAAATCTGAGCTCTGAGATGGAGTTTAAAGTACCATAGGACAATTATATAATAACCATTCCCATGTACGGGGAGCCTTATGCTTAGGGTCATTGTCTTGATAAAACTTAAATGTCCATTTAATGCCCATTTTCATAGCACTTAAATTTTCTTTTAATATATTGATATATAGATTTTTTAAATTGACATATCAGGTTATAATTGGAAAAATTGATATAGTTAGGTTATAATTGGATAAATTCCAGAACTCAACAACCTTATTTCTCCAAAAAAATTTTCCAATCATAACCTAACATTTATATTAATAATAATAATAATAATAATACTTTATTTATTCTGGGACGAGTCCCTTTAGAATAATACAGGAAGACAGAAATGAGGGCTAAGGAGCCTCAGAGATATATAAATAAAAATACAGAGTAATTGAACAGTCTTGGTTAAAAAAATAATATATATATATATATATATATATATATATATATATATATATATATATATATACACATATACATATAAGTTGCTTTCCAATTTTGATCAGTTGATAATAAAAGAGAAAAAAAAAAAATAGATAAACAAAAATTGAAGAACAAATAATGAAGAACGAACTAATAACTTATGTACATATTTTCAGTAGTATCTATTTACGATTTTATGGGGACTGGATGGATAAGAAATGATTGAACAGGCGGGATTTAAAGGTAGGAAGGGTATTAGATTGACGGATATGGGAAGGGATGGAGTTCCATAGAGATGAGGATCGGATAATGAACGATTTGTCGAAAGCAGCGGTTCGGTGGGCCCTTATGTATAAATCAGAAGACCGGGAACGAGTATTGCGGGAACGAACAGAGGATTTGAATTGAAGGAGCTCGGAGATGTATGAGGGACGGTGGGATTGGATGACTTGAAAGAGGAAGGATGCCAGGAAATACTTACGACGGTAGGAAGGATAAAGCCAATTTAACTCCGCGTAAAGATGTATATTATGTCTATAATATAGTTTGTTACTGATTTATATTAATATATTTAAATTTTTCCATTATTCCTTCAATAAAAACCAAATTTCCTATACCGTGTGATTACATACAGCTCCATACAAGAACTTTAAGACCTTGACCTTTTACTTTTTCAATTTAAATTCTGTCCCAGATTTCCACCACACAATTGATCTACCATCCGATCCAAAGATATTAAATTTGCTCTCGTCTGCAAAAATAATATCATTCCAATAATTTGAAGATTTTTTTAATAAACTCTTTGGCCAGCCTTCTTCTCTTATATAAGGCTTTTATCTACTCATCCTGGCTTTAAATCCATATTTCTTCAATATCCTTCGGATCTTATTAGACTTTGCTTTTTTTCCTGTTTGATCATTTATTTCTAATTTTACTTTTGTTGCGGTTTTCTTTAATTTTTCTGATGATTATTCGTTCTCTTTCAGTAAATATTTTATGGTAGCCAGATTTACTTCACCACGTTCAAATTTTGGCTGAAAGAAATTCATATAAACTGGAACGATCATACTGACACAGAGAGGATTAAGAATTGATAAATATATAAAAAATAAACATTAGCTTATTTACATAGAAACTGTTTTGTATGAAAACTTATTCTGGCATGAAATCATAAAATTAATTTATAATCATATAATTAAAAAACAAAGTGTTAGAAATTTCTAAAATTTATCTTCCGCAGTACAAATAATCTAGGAATCTACATAAATTAATTTTTTTATAACATCCAAAAAAAAAAAAGAGTTCAATGCCATTTGAAGTTACAAATAACGTTTGTATTAAAACTTTTGCTGTCAACTATATGTGAATCTAAATGAATATTAAAACTGACAGAAATAAAGTATATTCTTTATTTTTAAATCTATATTACCACTATATATCTATTATATCTATGTTACCAGCTGTTATGTATGTTTTAACTTGTATATATGTAAGGTGCTTTGTAATAAATTAGTTTCAAGTTACTCAATTGTTGTTATTTAATCAAGATCAAAACCAATTCAAACACTCGGCTACAACAGGTTGGCAAGAAGTCTGATAGAACCGGATTTCCCAGGGTAAGATTTTTTTTTTTTATTGAAGAGACAAATCACCTCAAGATCATATTTTAATATCACATGTTTTTTTTTTTCCTCTTATCACTTTCTGCTAAACAAGTTTTCCATGTCATCAATAAATTCTGCAATTTAATCAAAATATCTGGCTATTGTAATGAAAATTGTTAACCTTAAATCGTCATTATATATAGTGCATATTAAATAAATAATTGATTGCTACAATATCGATATCGAACTTATATCGATTCAAGATTTTCAATATAGTAACCTTCATGATTACTTTTTTTATTATCAAACAGTCTACTCAGGTTGACTGAATCACAATTCTTGAGGATATTTCCCTTACTATCGAATAAATTGAAATATTTCAAGTTTCTGTCGTGCATCCTGAACAATTCAAAGAAGGCTCTTGTCTTGGAATCCTCCAAAATATACTCTAAAGTTCTAGCTCAAAAGCCTCCAATCACAGTGGACATCAACAAGATTGATACTTACAAAAGTATCCATTCAAGATCAAGAAGCCAAGAAGTCCCCATAGATCTTCCTCTAGGTCAAATATTATCACGAAAAATCTTGATGGACTATGTCTATGATGCGGCAAAGATAATCATACATCAACAGAATTACAGAATTTGTTAACATGAAGTGCTCAACCTGTAAAAAAGAGGGGCACATTTCAAAAGTGTGTATCCAAGCTAGGATCAAGAAATTTTCTTCCCATAGTTCATCATCAAATCAAATCACGTATGATGAAACACCACATGGAATATGGAGTACAAAAAATTGAAGAACCATCAACTCTTCCAATCAATAATATTAAAGAAAAATATTATGTCACTGTGAACATTGAAGGTCATCCAACAAGATTTGAGGTTGACTCAGGCTCTCCTATTACCAGCATACCAATCAAGATAAAAACCAATTCAAACACTCAGCTACAACACTCTATATATGGTACACTAAAAAATCTGCTGCAGTGCATGCATCAAATAACTTTCACTTACCACCCTCTTCTTAGCAGAAATAAGTATTTTCAGAGAAAGGGAAGTGAAAGTAAAAATCATAAATGGTATGAAACATTGTTTAAAACAATTAATTACCATTTGTTTTTCATAGCTGTCTAATGTATTATATTTATTTTGTTTGACACTAGCTAGTTCCTTTTATTATTATTAAATGGCACTACATCCCAATTATTCGAGACTTGGCCTGCTCCAGCATGGATCTCCAGATCTCCCGGTTAGTTGCTGCAGCCTTCCAATTTTTGACACCAAGTAGTCTACATGCATCAGTAGCCACACAGTCTTGCCAGCGCAAACATGGTCTTCCTACTCGTCTGTTTCCAAACATAGGCTCATTCATAGCTCTCTGTGGGGGTGCATCCATATCCATACGCGCGACATGT